CAGGCAAAATGGGCTGTCTCTCTTTCCTTTTTTCTCGGTCTTGTCGTAGTAGCCTCTCAGAGTAGCCAGCGGCGTCGCGTTGACGACCTCCAATTTGCCGTGGGCGGTAATAAGTGAAAAGCCCAAATCCTAGCCTCTCCCTCACTGGCCCCGGGCAAGGAAGGCGTGGCATTTCCTTCCGCGACCACACCTCCCCCCTCCCTCGGACAGACCTGAGCGCGGTAGCTCTCCCCCCTCTGTCTCCCGATTGGCCGTCAGTAGGTGCGAGCATGAACTCAGGAGAGCGCAGACTCCGTGTATCACAGCCAATCAGCTGCCTCGATCGCGTAGAGAGTCAGCAAATATCCCCAGCCTCCTCCCTCCCCCTCCCGCGAGAATTCTAGATGCAACCTGAAAAGTCTACATGCTGAGTATGGTTTTATTTGGGATATGTGTCTGATACTACACTTTTAAGAACTAGGATTGATTGAGGATTTGGCATTATCAAACATGATCTCAACGAGAAGCACATTGTCGTGAAGTCCTAACTGAAAGACTGGAAGAACGTCGCGATCATTTTGTAGACTCCGTTTTTATTCAACAGGGATTGATTATATGCTCCCCGGCAAGACATGACAACATGAAACGTCCATAATGCAAGTGGATTCGTGTTAAGTTCCAGAGGAATCTGGGTTTGAGTAGGGTTAGGGCTACGGTTTAAGCCTAAAGTTGTTATGCACCATTCTCATCATGTAAACCTCTTGAACTTGCTTAGCGATATGGCTGGAACGTGCCCCAGTCTAGTTCGTGTGCAGATATATGAGGTAGATTTCAGACTCCTTTGCTCGGTAGTACTATACATGACCTCTCCAACGTCGTTTTAAAATTGATACTCATACTCCAGAACTACATGTGATCGTATACTTATAAAATAGTCTATGACGTACGAACACGACTCGTAGGTGTGCAGATTAATTGAACAATGCCGATCCTTCAATTGCTTAAAGACATGCAAAGCACGTTTGAAGGCATTCTCCGTAAACTTCCAAACTACTCTTCTGATGTGCACATATGGATTTATGTTGGTAAATCGTATGGAAATGGATTGCATGTTAAATTGTTCGTAGACCTGATGCGACAGTGCCTTCCACAAGAGTTTTGTCTCGAAATAATCATCTGACAAGAAGTCTACAAAATGCTTTTTATCGTCTATTCGAAAAAGTTCTACTCTCATTCAAGAGCGAATTGATCCCTATAATTTCAAAG